GAAAACTAGCCAAGCGGGCTCGTCTGTGAAACAAATAAACTAAACTTAAACAAGAACACAACAGCTTTGCAGTCCCCCACATCTCAGCCCACACCCCTCTCTGAGGCCCTTCAATGGAATTCCACTGCCTCACCCCTCGCCGCTCCCCACCCACCAGCCCAGTTTTGTCAAATGCGAACCTCTCTGCATATCAGATTGTGCGGATAGGGCTGCATACCTGAATAGTGCCTTTAGTAGAATGCTTAATCAGCATGGTAAATTGCATATCAGATTGTGCGGATAGGGCTGCATACCTGAATAGTGCCTTTAGTAGAATGCTTAATCAGCATGGTAAATTGCATATCAGATTGTGCGGATAGGGCTGCATACCTGAATAGTGCCTTTAGTAGAATGCTTAATCAGCATGGTAAATTGCATCATATTGTGCGGATAGGGCTGCATACCTGAGTGGTGCATTTCGTAGCATTTTTCACCAACATGGTAAACTGTAGACGATCTGTATAGCGTGGAATGTGGAATGGTTGTATTGTCGTATACAGGAGTTCTAGATTTGAAGCTTTCGTGACTGCAAGGATTCATACTCTTAGGTTTTTTCGGCAAAGTCACGTAGGTAAAAAATAAAATTAAAATTAATAAAAGTAATAATAGAAATAAAAGTAAATATTGTATTATTTTATTTCTATTATTGCTTTTATTAATTTAATATTTTTTCCTACGTGACTTTCCGAGAAAAAACTAAGAGCACGTATACAGGAGTGTTGAGTTTCGTAAAATTATCCTCTATATGTTTATCAGCAGGCAGGTGCATAGAATGGGAAACGTTGGAATGTGGATTATATATGAAAATTTAATTCCGTGAAATGCTAATCCGCATGTTAATCTGTAGAGAGGCCGATAAGATGGGAAGAGCTGAACTGCAGATTGAATTCACTTTCCATTCCATTCCCACTCCTACCGTCTCACCTGTGGGTGGTTTGAAACTCATGATCACGACAATCTGTGTGCTGTACTCACTAGTTAAATAAAAGTCTAGTGTGTACCAAATTATCACCGTGGTAATACTATCCCAGTAGTAACGAGGAGGAACAATCATGCATATGCATGTATTCTGTCACCGCCTTCCAACAACATAATAACTAAACTATATTTACTTCAACAGTCAAGGCCCACTGAACTATTTCGCTCTTGTGCAGCAGCGACCTGGCCACACTGGGAGAACATGTAAACTCCAAATATACAGGCATCAGGGTCAGGATCCAACCCACTGCCTCCTGCACACCAGGCGAGTTAGTGAACATCTCGCCACTGCGGCGCCATGCGTCTACCCTAGGAAATCATTAGCGATTATAATAAAGTCGTTCCTTTCCATGCCGCTCAACTAGATGGCATCACACAGAGCAACCCCTTCGAACAATTTGGCCAGCTTTCTGTCATTCAATTCCCCAATAGCAACACAACTTGACACTAAAATTGAACTTACATTGGCTCATCGTGAGCCCCTGCGACAGGGATTATTTACCGCTTACAATCTGCTGTTTTCTATTTGCTTCGTTTCTGCACTTTAATTGTTTCTATTTTGTAATGTTGGTTGAAACCAGGTCTCTCATGCAGATGAATACTATCCTGCTCTCTTGAGCATTTGAACACGTAGGCTTTCGCCACCAATATTTTTCATAATTCATAATATATAATAGCCCAGATCTGTCATTATTTATGTCATTCTGTGCCTGTGATTAACGCGGCACGGATTGATTGAAGTGAGTCGCGTGACCGAGAGCAACAGACGGGTGAGTGACAGTGAGGAGACGGGTGAGTGAGAGTGAGGCAGAGCCGTGCTCTGTCCACTGCTGCCCGGAGGGACCCCCGTGCTCTCCACTGCTGCCCTGAGGGAGAGCCGTGCTCTGTCCACTGCTGCCCTGAGGCAGAGCCGTACTCTGTCCATTACATTAGTACTGGAGTTTTTTTGTGTGTGCTTAAATCCACTGCTGGATGAATGCCCACCGCACACTGTGCGAGTGGATCGTAAGGATTTACTTGACCAGTCTGTTGGAGGCCGCCGCAGGCTGTGGTTGTTGGGGGGCGCCGCAGGCTGTGGTTGTTCAGGGATGCTGCAGGTTGTGGTTGTTGTTGGGGGGCGCCATAGGCACCCCCCAACAACAACCTAGTTCATAATAAATGTTTTTGGGTTAGATCGCGTTATTTGTTTATAAATGTGTCACAACCCTCCACCACCCGACACGGCCAATCAGAAAAAAATGTGTCACGTTGACAAAAGACAAATAGTTAACTACTTTAGCCCACCAGTGTGTTGAAGAGTGAATTTTTGAGTACGACGTTTCGCTGGTAATTACATCCAGCATCATCGGGCGATTTGCCAGAATAGTGAAGCCCTCCCTCCACTTGCTCCCGGTCTTAAATATAGCAGCAGGGTGACGTCAGCTCTTGAGCATGACAATAACAACAAACTTGACTTCGTTTGCAAGCATGGCAATAACAAGAGCAGCAGCAATGCGGGTGCGTTGCACACCTGCGGGAGGAGCAGTGACGTTGGGGACACTCAGTTCTCATCTCACGCACTGGCAAAACAAATTACGGCAATTTTTGCAGGTGATGTAATGATAATAATGTTGGTAATTTATCCGCTCAAAGTCTCCCACCACCACCCCGGGGAGAGGCACACAACAGCGTCTCCTTCATATCCCGTTCGCGGGGTCCCCTGTTTACATTCTATCCCCGCATGATGGGGTAATAAGTAAGTAATCGCCTTACCGCCACGGCGTCCGCGCGTGGTTTAGGCCCCGTGTTGTTATCGCAAATAAATGAATCCCGGACGGCACGGGGGGTCCATTTGTGTTGTTCCTGATGTGTTTTGTCGTACATTGCGTGTGACCTCTGCGTGTTCACCATTGCATTCTTAGAATGTCCCAAAGTGTCCCAATTGATGTGGGGCTTTTTTTGTCAAGGCCGTGCGGGTCACGGGGGTTTGCGTGATCATATTTTGGGCCAGAGCAAGACATGCATGCGTATGGGACATTTGGTTCATGTTGGAAATAACCTCTATGCTGGTCAGTGTGGGTTGGTGAACGTGGAGTGGTATAGGGGGCGATTACTTTTGTGTACCATGTCCACGGATCGTACAATAGTTGACAGCCATCAACATATAACTACGTATCAATCCACTGCTAGATGTGGATTTCGGCCATGTATGTTGGTTTACCCATACTTCACCACGCTGGTCTCAGTGTTGGTGAAAAATCTTGGTCGACAATCGTGGCTGTAAAAGGGGTTGAGTGAGGTGGTTGGGGTTCCAAGGACCGGTTCAGATGTCACTCGCCACTCACGTTTAGCCGTGGTCGAGACTGGAACTTGGGTTGCCGGGTTCATAGGCAACAGGTGCAATGCGCTAACCACTTATCTTGTTTGAAATAAACGCGAGTGGCTTGTATAAAATGGTTGTCAATGAAGGCAATTAGAGTGCATTTCTCGAGTGATTAATCAGACACGGAATTTGCATTTTAAAGATCACGTTAGGTTACTCACACACGTACAGCCTTCATAGGCACGGGACTCGACTGGATGGTGTCATCAGCACCACGACCATCCGCCTTTGCCTCGTGTTCACGACACACCACACCAGATACCGTACTCATCTCAGGCTCGGGTAAGCTTGCTCCAGATATTTGCCACCGATGTTAGTCGTGACCGGTAATCGAAACTTACGATTTCTGGGTTTGTAACGTAGGCCACTTCCACCCCTTAAAGTGGATATTGGTCACTCGGCCTTATCACAAACACGCACACCATGGCCTCACCACACAACCACACACACACACACACTACATACAATCCCACACACGCACTACATACAATCCCACACACACACTACATACAATCCCACACACACACACGTGATGAATGCGTCCGTGCTCTCACACGTGTTCACTCATCACTCACCTCCCTAACAGCTGATACTTTACAAAAATAAAATATCACTTAAAAAACCGATACATCGACCAACCCATGGCACTAACATAACGAAAATAGCGTAACTCAAATAATTCGCCTAACCAACGTCGCAGGAGAACAGGGCATGCAGAGGATGGTAAACGAGGTGACGCTGGCAGGAATCACGCACTCTGCGCGCCGTGGTGCTGATGGGAGACGACAGATCGAGGGGCGGAGGTGGCCGGGGCTTCATTTCAATTGGAGATGTCCGGGGCTGAGCTCCAGAAAATGTAAAAAAAAAATTTGTCTGGAGCGGGTGATTGTGGAGTGTATGTTAAATTATCCCTTGAGAAAATAAGCCGCGCAGGCAGATATAGGATAAGGGTGTGGACACACCGAGCGAGACTCGTGCAGCAAGAGCATCTTCTTGTATGTCGAACGCATTTGCCCGCCCGGTGCAAATAATTAATGTAGCCCTGCGTAGTTGATGTTCCGCGGTTTGTCTTGTCATAAGCCCCTCCGCTCGCGGTTCGGTTTCGTGTTTCTACCGCGTGTGCCTTCCGTTGCTTTGCAATCATCTCCCAGACAGGTGGAGTGAAAATGTCGTAAATCATCCAGAAATGATAGCGGTGCGGGAGAGCTCGAATGAAATAGGAGGGATGTCGCCGAGGAATACCCGACTGCTGCTGCTGCTGCACAAGAAGCGAGCACCCCCCCCCCCCCCGTGTGCACCAAGATCCCATTGATTTGCGCATTCCCCTCTTTTACATGCGCAGTGCGCATTCCGGCCACAATTCGCGGTGGTGCTGCGCGAGTGGGTTCCACTCACGAACCCCCCGGCGATTCGAAACAGCAGCAACAACAACAGCAGCAGCAGCAGCAGCATCCATCACCCCCACCCCACCCTCCCTGGCCATTAGTGAGACCGCACACCTGCAACAATTGGGCACTGTATGGGGAGGAGGAGGAGGGGGGTCGAGGAAGAGTTCACGACATCTCAACACGCGACACCGCTGGAGAGACTCTGTGGCACCGCCCTTGGGATGGTCACTTACCTGCTGTTGTTGTCGTATAGCCGAGAACCGCTTCGGGCACGCACACTTGCGGTCGGATCTTCTTCTTCTCCTGGTGGTGGTGGTGGTGCTTCGCGGTCGGTGTGTTGTCGGCGTGTAACGCAGCGGCGAGTGGGTGGGTGGGTGCGTGGTGTGCGTTGGAACCAACGCTGCTGCTGCTCCTGTTGTTGTGTTCCGCGTGAAGAGCCGCAGTGCGTGTTGCGCTGTCGGGAGCGCGTGTTTTAGGGAGAGCCTAGCTCTGGTCGTCTCACACACACGCGTGTGCGTGTGCGAGAAAGAGGGAGGAGAGAGAGGGAGGGAGGGAGCTCAGCTTGTTATTGTGCGCGGAGTCGCAGCTATGCTCCGCCACCGGTTGTCCCCTCCACCTGGGTTTGGCAGTGGCAGCAGGGCTGGACTGCAGGGAGGGCTTGGGATGGGTGCCCCCCCTCCCTTAGCGCTGTGCGGTGGCGTGTTAAGAATGCCGGCGGTGCTGTGCGCGTGCTATGCGAGCGGCGTGTGAGCGTGTATGAGAGTCGCGACAACGCGCCTTTCGTCGAGATATGCACGAGGCGTTTGGCACCGTGGCAGGCTCTGCCGGCTGTCTGCACGCCCTGGGAGATGCTGCTGGCTGTGCCACGGCCTGCGCACGAGTGATACAACCTGCTCGGTGCGCTATTTGCAGCTGTGCGCGGTGCGTTCCCGGCCGCGTTGCGCACAATCGCAGCAGAAGCAGCTTGGCTCTTCTGCCCTGCCACCCCCCCACGCTTTAAATCAAGAGAGTCACGCGTGGGCAGGGAGTCACACAAACCCACCAGGGGTGGGGGGATGGGTGAGCAGAGCGAGTGAGAGAACGAGAGAGGTGGAGTGGGGGAAGGCAGGTTTCGTGACTGTGGCACACACGGACAAATAACACAAACTCAACACTCGTTAATAACACTGCTCTGTAGGAAAGCAATATCATAGGGGACGACTCTAGCAATGGCCCGTTATCATAGCAGAGGTAACAACTTTACTGTAACACGCTTCGAGAAAAAAATTCAACACGTGTGAATAACACTGTGGCTTTGAAATAAATAAAACTAAATACAATAGTAAAAAAAAACATAATAAAATAATTCTCACGACGTTTCGGCCACAACGCAAGCAGCCGTCCTCAGGTGAAGAACAGGTCTATCAGAAAGACAGCGTCTGAATGTCATTCAGACGCTGTATTTCTGACAGACCTGTTCTTATTATGTTAAATTTTTATTATTTTATTATTTCCATTCTACGTGACTTTACCGAAAGAACCAAAAAGATGAATCCCTGCAGTCACGAAAGCTTTAAATCGAAATAAATACAATAGGTCACGTTTTGGGCAATGGATCTTCTTCACAGCTCTTCGGAAAGCTGTAAGACTTGCCCTCCAGCTACAGGCTGCAGCCACCAATCTGCTTGCTAGACTTTCCCTCATGATCGAACCCTCAATTGCCTCCAGAACAGGCCGGCCTCCGAACTGTCCAAAGCTCCTGTAAAGAGATAGTCGCCTCCACTACCCCTCATTGAAACTGGTTTCCAGCATCAACAGACATCTGGCACAGCAACGATTGACCTCTCTGCTGCCTCTGACACTGTTTGGCATCGTGGCCTGCTGCTGCAGGAGGCCAAATTCATCAGATGCCGTTCTACTGTTCACCTAATCGACGCGATGCTCAGCAACTGTACTTTTAGAGTAAACCTCGCTGGTTAACAGCCGCAGTGAATTACTACACTATGTAATACAATTATTGTTCCTGGGTAGTAAGTGTTATTTCATAATTGCTTATGCCTAAACAATATAGAAAATGGCTATTATTCAGCCACAAACAGGACAGTGATATTTTGAAATTTACCTATTTTGTAAATTATCTCACACGTTCATGTATGCAGATGTCATAGTCCTTACTGCACAGGGCACACACCTCAAGAACATTGCTAATACTTTAGCAGGTTATCTAACTTTACTCGAGGCATATTTCTGTCGCTGAAGACAGACCAAATCCTTCCAAAACCACCGCAACTTTCCACTTGAAAATTCATGCAGCGGATGCCACCTTTGGTATATTTCTGTGGTAGCCCAGTGCGCAATGACCCCATTGCAAGATAGCTAGGGATTATCATGGACAGAAGTCTGACCTTCAAGCCCCACATAAAAGAGATCTGTGAAAAGGCCAAATCAAGAATCGCCCTGCTACAGAAACTAGCAGGAACGACCTCTGACGCCTCGACTGCCGCCCTTCTCATTGTTCTGCTGAGTGACAGAGTATTGCACTCCAGCCGAGTCTGGGAGCACATACACAAAACTGCTAGATACACAAATAACGCAATACACATCACAACCGGAACACTGAAACCGACACCAATCCCCTGGCTCCTAGTTCTGGCGAACGTTCTTCCACCAAATATCCACAGAGGCATGCAAACTGCAAAGTGAGTTTACACGTTTTCTTGCCAACAATAACAACCACCTAACCATCAACCAAGAGCTTAACAGTGCACCTCCCTACCGACTTAATACCCGATCCCCTTTCTGGGCTCGTGCTGTCACTAAACTAGAATCTCACCCAGATCTGGAAGAACGCTGCTGGTGAACAGAGGGGAACAACACGGACCTCCAGAATAAACACCTCATTCGAGACCCAAACATCGCACCTCCTGGCTTTAACATTTCTAGAAGAGAACTAGTGGAACCATCAACTGCATCAGAACATCAAACTGCTGCACACATCTCCATAAAAATAAAATGAAAGACAAGCCACAGTGCGACCCAAACTATAGACTATACCAGGGGTCGGCAACCTACGGCTCCGGAGCCGCATGTGGCTCTTTACGGGCTGCTTCTTGACGATGAGTACGTATGTACTCAGATGCATTGCGGCTCTTGAAATACTGAATTTTGTACCGAATTGGAAAAAAATGGCTCTTCTTGTTATTTTGGTTGCCGACCCCTGGACTATACTAACCTTTTTCCCGTCCAAGGACGGGTGTATTTCAGTAAATCTGAAACTTGCAAGCGAAAAGCAGACCGTGACGTGATGTATTCATTGCATCCATTCGTGTGCAATTTGTAAGGGCGCGGTGACACAGACCTATTTCAGTTAAAGGTTATAACCCCGTGTTCGTCATGACGTCCTTTTTACTTCGATGTCTCAACAGCGTTACGGGGATCACGTGACGTGAGGGTTCTGCCTTTGTAGTGAGAGTTGTCAGTTGACGCCGAGGAGGGGGGAGGAGGCGCCTCGGCCCCCCATGTGGAGTGACGTCACCCGCTAATTATTATGAATGGGGGGGAGTCTATTTGGAAGACGTCACCTCTTCATGATTATTAATGAGGGGAGCTGTTCGATGTGGAGTGGTGTCACCTGCTCATGATTATTAATGAGGGGGGGGGGTGCTACATGTGAAATGACGTCATCTGCTCATGATTATTAATGGTGGAGGGGGGGGTCCATGTAGAGGACGTCACGTGTTCATGATTACTAATGAAGGGGGGGGGGCTACATGTGAAATGACGTCATCTGCTCAGGATTATTAATGTAGGGGGAGGGGGTCCATGTAGAGGACGTCACGTGTTCATGATTATCAATGAGGGGGGCTGGCAGACGTCGAGTGACGTCACACGCGGGACACACATTCTTGGCTCATTGTAGTCATAAACACATTCTTGCGGAGGGAGCTGGTAGGAACGTTGGGTTGCTCGGTCAATGGCCAGGGTCAAAGGCGGCGTGGTGTATTCCGCAAATATGCCCGACTGTGAGGGCTGGCACAAGCCGGCGTGAGTAGGTTAAACGTTGAGTTTTATAAGGGCACCACGGGGTGACCAGCCCCTCCCCACCCAGCCCCACCCCTCCCATCCCCCACCCAGCCCCTCCCTCCCCACCCAGCCCCTCCCTGGTGGAACCAGTGGGTTCCTACCAGTAAAATACTATTGTAGCCTGTGCTCCTTCATTTGAGTAGCAACACGACACAAACTCTGCCCATAAGCACTCTTGTGGCTTGCATACCTCGACATTGGCATTCAGTTCCTGAACATATTGCCATACACACGAATACAATGGTTCAAATTGGTTTGTGCTCTTCAAAAAGGTCATTTCCCAAAGCGTTGCCTATTATATATACTGTAGTATATATGTCACCACTGAGATTCAGCTTCAGGTGATTTAGCCGTTCAATTACTTTGCTCAATTGGAGATACACACTGCCTGCAAATGTATAACTTGGGACAGTACGAGATTATATATATGTGTGAATGTTTTACCACGTGATGGGGAGCGGTGGCAGGCTGGTTAGCGCGCGTATTGAGCCCGAAACCCAACGACGCAAGAGTTCAATTCGCGCTCACAAGTGGAAAATCTGTGAACCGATACCAAGCTTCATCTAAGTCGACTCAGCCTTAAACGAGTACTGTGCCTGGTGCGGTGTGTAAACATCAGCGCTGGGGTGACACAGGCGTGGTGTTGTCCACCCACGCCCTCGTGTACCGTGCCCGCCGCTTTCATTGGTGCTTGCTCACAGCGCTTGCCCCAACAGTCTGTTGAAGACTATTCTGAGATCGTTTTCTTTGTTTTATCACCGTGAAAACACGTACACACGCGTCGTTTCACGCGTGCCTGCGTGCTCAATTAAAATGTTGATAAGGAATCAACACGAGTCGCCTCTTGGGTAAGGAACTTTATTCAAGCCACAACACAACTTACATACAGGGCTCTTAGGAAGCTTTATGACCAAGAGAGTCCGTGTTCTCCCCAAGCCCCCCCCCCCCCCCCCTTTGATCCACTCCCTCCGTTCCTTCTCGTACCTTCCAGAAGGTTCCCTGCCTGCTCCTCCTTGTCCTCCACCAATTACTGTGTGCCAGAGGTCGCAACCAGGTACCCGATACCCATACCCTAACCGATACCCCGTTTGCGACCCTGGTGCGACCGGGTACGGGTAGACCGTGAGTCACTGGTGAGTAACTGTTTGTCACTCATTTCCCAACGTCTTGTCTCTTCTCACAATTCAAGTTCCTAGAATCAACCCTCCGCGCCTGCAACATGGCTTCATCCCAGAGGTCGCAATCAGGTACCCGATACCCGTACCCAACCCGTACCCGGCCGGGTACGGGTAGGGTATGGGTAGGGTACGGGTACCGGTTTGCAACCCTGGTGCGGCCGGGTACGGGTAAGGAATCAAAACCCGTTTGCGACCTCTGCCGAGTGCGCCTTTCTTACCTGCCCCTAACCGTCTTTCACCTCATTCCGTTTTCTGCCTTTCCCCCAATTAAACCTCTGCAGCCAATCCTATGTCCCCACTTCCCAGAATCTGCCCCTCCAGCTGTCGTTTATTAAATATCCTAAGGTGTCCTTACATGACCCTTACTCTGTGGTTATGAATTCGCCCCGACGGGTGGAGGTCAGATTACAGATGAGCATGATGTCAACACCGTGATTGCATTCACCCTCCTCCCCCTCTTAAATGTGATCTCAAACGAAAAAAGGGCTTCCCTGATTAATACCCAAACACGAATAGCCATTCACAGCTATGCTCCTCATCTTCACCGATCAGCATACACCAGCATGGTGAAGTATGGTCAAATAACCCACACGATCTGCAAGGGTAATAC